AGGGCTGGAAAACAAACTATAGCTCCTGACCTTGCAGCTGTTCCTAGCAGAAGAAAGCTGATAAACTGATGTGACATGGTACTATCAACTGCAGATGCTGCCTTCCAGAGAGCACATACTGCCTAGTCTTGATGACAATCGTGTAGCTGAAGCAAGTGACATGTCTTGCTACCACCCCCGGGGACAGAAGTCTGCCAGACAGGTTTAAGGAAAATGCAACTTGTATGAAGCAGTTTTCGCTTGGGATCAGTGAATCAATTCCTCATAGCTATTACATTTTTTGTGACAATGAAAAAACCCAGAAAACCATCAAGCTTTAGACATGAGCTTTTGTAGTTCTGCAGAGTATTTAGGTACCTTGCCCATAAAGAACAGACAGAGTGTATTATACAAAAAACACCCCACTAATCCCAAGGTGGCCTCATTTCAAAGGTAAGGGAGATATTGTCCTACAGAATGTTGGAGATCATTATGAAAATACTAGGGACTTTTTTTTTTTTTTTTTTTTAAAAGAGAGATTGGCCTGTGAGAAACAAGAACATTGCAAACTTAATACTCAAACTTGCAAGGGATGGAGAGCGCAAGAACAACACCACAATTACCTTCCTGGAGAAGGTTCATAGGAGGAATTAGTTACAGCGTTGTTGAGGACTTAGTTACAGCTTTGCCCTCATAATAAGGAATGAATAATATTATCTTCACCTTGGCTACTTACCTGCTTCAGTTGTTCAAGCCTGTCATCATCTTCAAGGAAGAAAGTTAGGTACATAAAAGACACGTCAACATCACAGTTACCTCCGTACTTCCTGTGCTCTTCAATAGTATCTCTGCCTCCCGAGAAGGCATGCTTGTTAATCTGAAACAACATAATGATGTTATGGTATAACTTCTACTAAATTCGTGATTACTATATTGTAAACGGCGGTGTGTCACAATACTCTAATTTCTATATTAAGGACTAGCTGAAGAGTGAGCAGGGCAAGTTAACGGAGAGCCTCAGGACTGAAGCAGTGAGGCAAAAGGAGGTCATTAGAATGCAGCAGGGAAAACTGGCTATTCACATACCACTCAGACTGCATAATCAGAACAAAAACGAAGCAAAAACTATCCAAGATTCAGTCAAAAAAATTTTAAGTCTCCTCTCCTGAAGCTGTTGTCTGTTGGACAGAATTTGTGCTCACAGGAAATGTACTTCATGTAAGAAAAAATAATCAAGAAATTAATTTTGAAAGAGATGAAGAAGGCATTGACAAATTTGAAGAAATCCTAAAGAGAACTTAGTCTCCTCCGTTTTCAGGGAAAAGGAAAACAAGAGAAAGAAAAGTTAAGATTACAAAAAGCTGGCTAGAATGGCTAAAGTTAGACAAATGCCCAATTGTTCAGTCTAAAAATGGAGTTATTGCTGACTCTCCCCCCTTCTTTTTAAGCATAGCTTCGTACGGGCAGATGAACTGCACTGGTGAATAGACTGACCTGCTAATCCCATTCCCAGTAAATTCAGAAGCCACTGGCCTATTTTAAAAATTTATGCATGTTTAGAATTCTCAGAAGATGCTAATCTTCCTACAAATTTAAAGAAAACAAATTGCTAGGAAGAGGAAAAAAAGTATTTCATATTTCTCAACCATAAGCTGAGCTTTCATTTGGCTCTTGTATCTTTTCAGATATCATCAACCAGCCAAGAGACACACGTGCATATGAAGTAGATTTTTTTAGTTCTGGTATCTAGGAATTGTTACGTATTTACAATTTCTGAACATTCTCACTATCTGTATGACTGTCTAGTGCTTTTTTTAATCTTTCTAACCATCATGTTATAGTTGATGTCTTGTGGCAACAAATTACATACAAAAAAGATTCACTGATGAATATCTTAAGAAAATAAACTGCCATCTGTCACAATACATCTATTCTCACATTGTAGGACAGCCCAAATAGCTGTCTCGGTATCTGTAAAACTAAGTTTTTATATATTGTTTTGCACTTGCCCTCACCTCTCTCCTTACTAGATTTTGAAAGTCTTTCTATGAATTTTTTTCTGTGTCCCTCATCTCTACAGTTTGTTTTCTTACTAAGGTGAGAGGGACCACATACAATATGCCAAGTGAAGGCACATTATTGTTTCAAAATGCTTCACATATTAATCTCAAGTTCAATTTTTACATATTGTGGCACCTACTTGTTGACTGAGGGTTTCAATGATCTATCTATAGTAATGCAATCATCTTTGCCCTGAATTAGTACAGACTTTGAATCTAAATAACACTTTCTAGGAAAACAAACAAATTGAGCTGTAATTTGGTGCTGATAGGTGAAATAAGTACAGTTTATTATAATGTTGCCATTCATCTCCTTGGATTTCCCAGAAGCATCTCAGTCTTTCACAATATCTAGTAATTTTTCATCTTCTATTACCTGTAAGTTTTGAACCTCATTACTTAGCAGTGTAATCTGAAAAGTGCTGTAAGCAGTAATTTTTTCTGCGCAGTAGTGGCACTCTCTGGTTAACCTTCATCCATCACCAGAAGTCACCTTTCCTACTCTATTTTTTTATTTATTTGCCATAACAATATTTGGTCTTTCATTCAAGCTCTATTTCCATAAAGACTTGTTTCTGATGGGCTTCAGAAGCTGAAATAAATCTCAGTTTGTCCTCTATTATTCAATATTTTACATTATGTTCAGAATTTTTTCTTTATAGCTTTGACATTCCAAGTAGCTAGAATTATTTTGTTATTTTTCCAGCTACTTTAAAGATTGCAGAAATAGGACTTATTAACCGGACATAAGGCATCTTGGATCTCTTCACATTCTACTAGCTAGTTGCCAGGAAAAAAATGGAAATATATTACCAACATTGCCACTAATCATGCATCCTCTATTCTGAAACTCTAGCTTTTTTAAAAAGTAATCCTGTAACTGTGCAAATAAATCTGAATTGTTATAATCCAAACACATGAAGAATTCCAATTCTTCAAAACAGTACTGTTTAATCAGTTTCTACGTAAGATAATGAATCATTATGAGATGGCCGTAGAAGAATCTGGTCTATTCATGGGTTTGTCAACCATAAGAGAATTAATCAAGTCTACCCAGCAGAAACAACATATACATCTTTTTTCTTGTTTAGACAGATAGTTATTTCATGTCTGGTTATCATGCCTATAAATCTTTTTCCAAAGACTGATTTTTATTAATTTTTTAAAAAATACTGCAACACAGGTGAACTTCTGCCAAACTAAATCATCTGGCACTGGATAAGAGAGGTTTTCCTTTGAGCTCGAAAAGGCACTAGGAATATACTTAAAACAGAAGAAAACACCCCTTCTAAAACTTACAAGAAATTCAACATAAAATTTATTTGTGAATTGGAGGGAGGAGTGTGTGGCAGCAGCAGATCCCCAAGCAGCATGAAAAGTCTGACCTGTGTTGTAACTGACACTGTGCAATGCTTGGTGCTCCCAGCATGGAGAGGCAGTCAAGACAAAGAGCTGTTTATTTGATTTACACCATGGACTGTCAGATTTCAAAACTATGGCAACATAATATTTATTTTTAGAGCGTGAGCCTCCAGAGCTCATATTCTTACCCCACTGCTCTGCAGATATCAGATAAACAAACATGAGGTTTTGTATGTTATTCTAGATGACGTTTGTACTATTAGGCTAGTTGGCAAGGCAAAAGAATGTATCTGACAGTCTAGCTAGACTCGCATAACTCGGTCAATTCCTGAAGATGTTTTACCATGAAATGTAGGGGTAAAAGGATTCAGATGTGTTCAAAGAACACATCAAAAAACCGTTGTCGTAACTGTGAGACCGTCACTGCTTTTTGTTATAAAGCTTTGCACACTCAGGTTTTGCAGGTCCTTACCTTTGTCTTGATTTGTTTGGGTGTATCAGTAAGGAAGATGGAGGAGTTTGGGTCACTAGCACTCATTTTTGTCTGTGCTCCTTGCAGGGCTGGGAAGAAGACTGAGTGCAGTAAGGCTGGTTTAGGCTGTCCAATTCTAGGTGCTACATCCCGGGTCATTCTAAAATAAGGATCCTAGAACAATCATCAATAAAAGCACAGAATAAAGTTGAAAAACATAATTTAAAAGCTGATTAGTGCTGATTCGTTCATGCCTTAACAGGTGGTCTCAAAAAAACAACAAAAAAACCCCTCAAACCATGAAATATTCCAGAACCTACTTCCAATCCAGTTCATCCAGAAGAACAAACAAACAAAATCCCTTTTTTCCATTTTCCATAGTTTTGCTGTACACTCTGATTCCCTCAATTAATAGGCATATTTACAGAGATTGACATGAATTCAAATAATTGTGAAAACTATGTTTAGTATGCCTGAAGATGGATGCAGACTAAGATGCAAGCTTCTTCCCAAAGCGTTTAACAACCAGCACACAGACTGAACTAAATCAATGATCAAGGTGGCAGTGTTGTGCTGATGACCTGATCAAACTAGCTGCAATAATACTACTACATAATATTGTGGCTGACGAATGTAATTACATCATCTTCTTTAGTCACTGTCCTTGTGACTAAAATAGCCAAAGATTCGGACAGTGCAGAATTTGATTCCTAGAAACAATACTTATTCAAAGTAACAATGCTACCACTGTCACTTGTAGCCAACATACTTCCATCCTCTTTACATAGATCTGAATTGTTAAGGTTCTGCAGCCTTTCTGGCAAACTATTTCAATGCTTCTTTATTCTTACTGATAGAAGGCTTTTCCCTATGGTTCAACGCAAATCTCTCGCGCTGCAAGTTGCGCTCACTACATCTTGTCCAAGTTACCATGGAGATGGCCCAAAGTTTCTTCCTACTCCATGTCACTATACTTTCGCATAGATTTTACTGTCTTTGCTTTCACAGATGTCAGCTCACTGTGAACTGAGTTGAGAACAAGACAGATCCAAGACTTGCAAGAATGAGTAATGCGTGAACACATGACTGTTGAGTTAAGCCTTCATCTTTGTCAGGACATAGCACAACATCCTTTTATCTCTTCCAGCTTCTGCCTGAGAAAGGTGCTTGCAGGAATGTTTTACAGATGTTTTGATATACTACCATGAAGCTTGAATGGTACATTACAGAAATCCAAATCCATGAAAATGAAATTAAAGTAATATGATTTTCTCACCTGATCAATAGCACATGGGATAAGACACTGAATGTTCTCCTTGCCATTGAAGATCTGTGGAAATGATGAACTGAAGGATGGAGCAGCTTGAATAGCCGGAAAGCTTATCTTTCCTAGAAAACAATACGTTTGGAAAAGTTAAGCAGCCAACACAAGCAAAGATAAATAGACAACTTTTTGAAATATGTAAAATGCACAAGTGAATCATTCAGTCTGCTGAAGACCAACATCTATCTTTATCAAGCAGTGTTACCTTATCTGAGGAAACTGTTTCATTTTTACCTTCTATGGTGTCAACAAACCTTCAACAAACACAGAAACTAATGAGAAAAGGCAGGCTGCGATCACAGAGGTTTCAGAACAGGTTCATCAGTGCATACTCTCTTCATCATTGAACTATCTACCCTTCCCAGAAACACAATTGATATTGTTGCTCATTTTTCTCTACTTGTAAGACAATGACTATAGAGCGACTTACCAGCAAGTTCCCCTCTAAGATCTCAGAATATTTGCTATATGCATGCTATGCTCATGAAGCATCTCAGATGTATCTAGCTTTCTTTTTATACATTGCTTAATCACAGGGTGACCAACCTGCTTCCCTTATCAAAATCCTCTCAGAACAGAAAGCAAATAGCAGATTTTTCCAAATGTGTACTGAAGTCATTATCATAATACCAACTTTTATTAGAGCACTGTTAAAACAAGTAGGAACCTGTTCCTTGGTTACAGTGAAGGCTGAAAAGCTGTCACCGGCCCAATTACTGGTCAAAGAATGATGTTAGTGTTCAGGAACACCAAGGTTTTAATGCCATCTTTGACACAGAATCATTTTTTTTTTTTGGCCAACGTGATAGAAACCTGCAATCACAGCGAAGTAAATGGAAGACAGAGTTACTCAGCACCTTGTTAATTAGACTTTTGAGCACTCAACTTTTTTCATACATGTATATACATGTGTGTATTAATACAACTTTTTCTGAAGGGAAAAGTTTCTATATAAATTTGGCACAGAAATTTCTAGGAGGCATAACTGACTATAGCTGCAATCACTATTTAAAAAAAAAAAAGTTCCCCATCCCAGGGGGGAACTTATACTTTGCTGTTACTAGGGCTAAAAAGGTAGATATCATGCTTGAACATGTACTGTAAAGTGTTTTCTATACTGAAGAAACCACAGTAATACCCTTTTAGAATTAGCCTAGAAACATAGATCTTCTTGCTTTTCTATCCATGAGTGGCAGATACTAATCGCTAAAGTATTACTTAAATAGTGCCATAGAAAGTCAAAGCAAGCATTACTTCCAGTAAGTCATATTATTTCCTACCAATGCAATCACTGTCTGTAAAGCCAAAGATTCCTTTCACTTGGTTAAATGTTACATGCTTCTGAACTTTGACAATGTTTTTGTAGAATCCAGTGCTTGTCCTGCAAGAAAAAAAGTGCAAAAATAAAATGAGAAGAGCAGAAAAGTGTAGGTAGAAACTTTCACTCCAAAAGCCGAGAATGTCAAAAACACCTGCAGGATTAAACCTCACAGTTTCTGACTTTCTGTGGCCCATTGAGATGATAATTAGAGAATTATTGAATTATTTACAAACAAGAATTTTATGCCTTGAAAGTTTAATTTATTCTTCCCTCCTCCCAACATTCACTGCAAGCTTTTTTTGTCACAGTTAACTGTCTAAACCCAGAAATATTTTGATTTGGGAATGGTGCCAAAATGTCTCATGGAGCCTGAAGTTTACTTATACTTATGCTTCTCTGTGAACCCATGTAACCCGAATGGATCGTGTCTTCTCTGTTGGTTGGTATACCCATGTGTATCCCATACAGGACACTGCGGTTCACCAAAGGAATAGTAACTCAAATCCTCCAAATTCTCATTTTCTACAGGCTAAGCTCCCTGGCTGGAATTCCTCTGTCACCAAATACAGCAGTGGCATTTCCTAATGAAAAACAGCTCAGCAACTTCTTTTTTTAAAATTCAGCTGAAGAGCTGAAGCAAAAGAAACTGCAGTTCTGACCCACCCTAGTTCACCCACAGGGCAGATCTGTATTAATGCAACTTTTCTAAGGCTGGAAAGTCAGGGGAGTGAAAGGAGGAAAAACTGCTTTGTAAGCTCCACATTCTGGGGGCTGCACATTATACAGTTCATCTCTAAAACATACATTGTTTGATCCAAGTAAGGAAGGTCATTGCCCCACATGGAAGCACAAAGCCCACAACTTCAGATCTGAACTCTGCCATAAAACTTCTTCCTTCTGAGAAGGCAGTTCCAACAGCAGTTTGTTTTTCTTAAATCTTCTTTAAACTTTACTCAACGTTAAAATAATAACCTTTCACGCTGTATTATTAAACTAATTGACCACAACAAGTTGCTGAAATGCATTTCATTAATGCAGACGAAGTGTAAACACATCTGAAGGACTTTGATACCATCTTAAACAAATCAATCTGGAGGTTTCTTGGTGGTTTAGGCATTTTTACAATTTAGCTGGTTTAATATATTTATCATAATTTAAATTTAGGCATTGCATACACCAGTATTTGTTCATATGTTATACAGGAGAATGGCAATAGTGTATATATATATATAATGTTAA